AAATATATATAATAAAATAATATATATATATAAATATTAATATATATATATATATATATATTAATAATTATTAATAAATATAAATTTGCAAAAAAATAAAAAAAAAACATCAAAAGTTTACAAAATATATTTCATACATTTATTAAAAAAAAAATGTAACTAACAATTTCAGTGAATGAACTAATACAATGATTCAATGATGTTGCAAAACTGCACAAATGACGAGATTAAAACATGCATTTACTGGTATTAATAAACCCTGGAGGCAAACATTGTGTACATAGTTTTATTAAAGTTGATGAATAGTAACTGAACAGACTTACAATGGAAATATTGTACATTAGAAAGGTGCCGAGTGACAGTAAAAGCACAAACTTTGACCCTCTCAAAAGCAAAAGGGAGTGAAAAGTAATAATAAATGACAAAACGCCAACAAATACATGCATTTATATTCGGATGAAACCTCCATACAGACACACGTAATCCAGTGATATTTATAAAATATGAACGTACACATTTCATTGATATTACTAAGTGCTTCGCCAGGCTATTACAAACTACACACGAGTTTGCCTTTCTCCGATCGGATCGTTTAAATACTTTAAGGAAGCATCTACACGTGCGTTTGGTGCTTTCATTTACATCTCGACCACTAAATCAGAATAACGATGAACTCCGTCAGCTGACGAAGCGATGACAAACCACTATTAAATATAGAAAAATAGACTTCTACAGCCAAACAAACTGAAATAGGAGTCTGAAGGCCAAAGAAAAGCTGACGTCACCAGCCCAGAGTGCTAATGTTAGCATGTATATACTTATCTGAAGTCCAAGTGCAGAAAAACATCAGTCGTAACCCGCCACTGATAGTGGATATGGGTTAAAACGTCACCGAGCACCAGAAATGCTTGCATACGTGTGTGCGCGCACATGAGTGTGTAAGCATTGGTGCATTTCTGACCTGGACACTGATTTAAAGCAGAGTAACCCCGCTGTTCAACAGGCTGTCAATCATCTCCTCTCTCCGTCACTCATTGGTCTCTAAGGAAACAAAGCTCCGCCCATGCTGTACAGACTCCGCCCACACATATAGTGAGCTGCTGAGAGCTTCAGAAACATGATGACCTGAGATTAATCTGAGATATTTAGAGACTGTAGTGTTTATGCTGAGAGGGGAAAGAGAGAGGATCACCAGAATAAACTAATAGCTTAGACTAGTTGTTAGACAGCCTGTTAAATCAGCAGGGTTTAACCTCAGCAGCCGGATTGAGTGATGTCTCCGCCGGAGCTCTTGGTGACCTCCATAGTGGTGAAGATCTGCAGACACAAGGGAACAGCAACATGTTGGCTTGTGTGTGGGGAAAAACAGCAATGCAGGTTTAACCTTTATTATTGAAAGGATTTTTATGCTCAGTCACATTTATAGATCAAAAAGTATGACAAAAAAATAGCATATTTGTTAAAATATAATTGTTTTTTAATTATTGTAAATGAAAACTTTTCTTTTACGCATTAGAAAATGCGTAATTAAACTCTTGTCTTCAGTGTCGCATGAACCTACAGAAAGCCTCATGCACACTGGGATGTTTATTGCTCGTGCTCATTGCCAGCATTTTTCACAGATGTTCATCAGCATTCATACCAAAGTCACTCACCGGTGATGAGCCGAGTGAACTTGTAAAATCCCCCTTTAACTTCAAACAGTGCATAAAGTGAACCTAATATGGCCCTTTATACAAGATGCAAAATGTTAAGTCTCTGATGTCTCTAGCGTGTGTGTGAAGTTTCAGCTCTTTGTTTAGTCACGAGGCAATAATAAATCAGAAAATACAAATAAAAAAAGACAAAATAAAAAAATAAAATTAAATAAAAAAATTATAATTTATATATTTTATTTTGTAATTATACATTTATTTTTTATTTTATTTATATAATTTTTAATGTTGTCGATAATAATGCACAATAATAAATTTTTTATTATATATTCATTATTTTATTTGATGCATTCGTTTATTTTACTTATATTTATTTAATGTTGTTGATAATGTGCATTATTTTTATTATATATTCATTTATTTATTATTTTGTTTATTTTTTGCAGTCGATAGTGCAAATTATTTTTTATACATTTATTTTATTTAATGTCAACAATAAATGTGCAATTCATTTTTATTATAAATTTATTTATTATTATTTAATTTTTATGTATTAACTTATTTTATTTAAATATTTATTCATTATTTGACTTATTTAATGTTGTCTACAATAATGTGCAACTTATTTAATTTATTTACTTTATTTAATGTTGTCTAATAAATATTCTATTTTTATTAGATATTTATTTTATTTTATGTATTTTTTTACTTTTTTTATAATTGTGCAATTTTTTTATTATTTTGTTTGATGTATATATTTATTTCATGTTGTTTATAATTAATGTGCGATTTATTTTGTTTATATATTTTTTATTTTATGCATTTTATTTATTTAATGTCTATAATATTGTGCAATTAATTTTTATTATTTTGTTTGATGTATTTATTTATTTTGTGTTGTCTATAATAAAAGTGCGATTTATTTTTTATTATATTTAATGTATTTAAGGTTGTCTACAACAAACGAGCAATTTATTTATGATACATTTATTTATTTATTTTATTTGATGCATTAATTTTACTGTTGCCATTAATGCATTAATTTTAAAAATATATATATTATTTTATTTGATGTATTTATTTTATGCAGTCGATAATGTGTATAGTCTCCTGCACGCATTAATATGATGATCTCATGATTAACACTTTTTAATTACGTTTAAAAGTTGTCAATTCTGCAGCCTTACATTTATACACCATCATTGTCTTTGAAACTTGTGGTCATATTCAAATAATAATAATAAGAATAATAATAATAAAAAAGGATGCTCTTTTAAACTGTCTCCAACACAAAGAACAATTAATAAACCAACTTATAAACCCTAACTCCTTAAATTAGTAGAAATAGTCTTAATTAGACTATTATTACTGTTTCTTGTAATTAAGTTTTTTCCAAACTTTGACCTGTGCAGTGAAAGCATGAACCATAAACAGGATCAAGTGCTATATCAATGACAAACGCACCTCAGCACAGGTGGGGTGAATGCCGATGGTGTTGTCCAGCTGATCTTTGGTTATTCCACACTTCATAGCAGCTCCGAATCCCTGCGTGACCTCGCCAGCATTAGGACCCAGATAGTGGAAGCCAATCACACGCAGCTGCACACAGACGGAAACAAATCCAATTCATTCATGCAACATATCTTAATGTGAATCAGTCGCTTAATGCAAATTAAAGCGCGGTTCATAGTGAAATTGGCTAATTGCATCCCTTCTTAATATCTGTACTGCACTGCAAAATTTCAATGACTAAAAATGATTTCTAAGAATTAAGTTCACAATAGAGCATTCTGGATTGTTGGTTCAAATGCTGTACATTATACTGTATAAGTGTAGTGTAGCGTATAATCCTGACTGTGAGAATCTGATCAAACTGAATACTCGCGAGTGTCTTACATTGTCCAGTTTATTGCAGATGATCTTGGCGTAGCACTTGTTATTGTCCCGTCCGGGAACGGTAAACTCCAGAGGCCAGAACAGACTGTGATAAACCTGCAGAGATGAAGACACAATCATTACCAGCACATCATTAAAAACACTCATTACCAGCACACATTATTAAAGGGGACAGCAGTTGTTATATCCACTATGTCATATTGCCTATAACACCCTCACATGCTTACCTTTTTACAATTTTTGGGGAGAGCAAAATTTAAACCTGTGGTTTCAACCACCATATGCATTTAGACCTGTCCAGTTCATCTAGAATGCATCTCTGAACATCTTCTCAATTAGCATTTGGATTTATATTGCTCTCAAATGCATTCTGGAGAGTATTTACACACGTGCATTTCGTTTTGTATAATAGGCCTTTCAGTAGATTGTATAAAAAAAAAAAAAACATTCAAAGATTAGATTGGTATACAGACACATTCTGTCTGGACCTACTTATAGTTACATTACTTGCATATTTCACTTTCATAAATATTATAATTATTGGCCCATTACTTAATCTATTTGTTTATCACTAACTCTAAATGTCAGTAAATAAAAACTGAAATATATATATATTAAAATTACAGTAATATTATTGACAAATGTTTATATAATTTATTTACAATACGGTTTGCACAGTAATATTTTCGGTCTTTCAGTAGATATATTATATAACAAACCATTTCAAGACCACAAAGCTACACCATTAGAAAATTGAAGTGACCAGGTGTAAATGTGCAAATATGGCCTTCAAAGCCAGAGTAAACCCACACACACCTCAAGGTTTTCCTGTCCGTACATCTGGATGGCCTTTTCCTCTGGGTGTCCACAGCTGCCGTATTCCATAGGAGTGAAGACAGTGGTGGGGACGTTCACATAATCACACTGGACAGCACAAGAAAGAGAAAACATCATCTACTGCTTATAACCAGGCCCATACGAAAACTGCACGTGAATATTATACATTTAACCATTATATTGTTTATATTATACATTTAGAATACAGTTTGTAAAGTTAAAATTTCTGTCTCAGTAGATATATTATTTAAAGAAACTTTTGTTTACTAAAAACAAGTGAATCTAAGTGGATTTGCATTGTAAACCAAGTTTCTTTTTTTATTTCATATTTTAAGTTTAGTTACTATACTCCCTAAGACATTCTGCATAAATCCACAGATTTTTTTTTTTTACAATATTCTGCACAGAAATATGGAAATGTTTATGATTTATTTACAATACAGTAAAGTAATGCTTTCTATGTTTCAGTATATAGAATAAAAAGCTTGCTGTTTACCAAACAAGAGCATCTAATTGGAGATGCATCATTTAAAAAATAAATAAATAAAAATAATAACATTTAAAAATAAAAGTAATAACTAAAATAATAACAGATAAATAAACAAATCATTTAAAATAAATAAATAAATAAAACAACTAAAATATTAAAACAACAAATAAATAACAAAAAAATTAATAAAAACTAAATTATAAAAATAAATAATTAATAAAGTAAATAATTAATAAAAAAAAAATTAATTAACTAAAATAAAAGTAAAAATAAATAAATGATAAACTAATTAACTAAAATAATAAAAAAATTATTAAATAACTAAAATAATAAAAAAAACTTTAAAAAATAAAATAAAAGTAAAATAAATAATAAATTAATTAATTAAATACTGCCTAAAACATTCCACATTAATCCCATTGCTGTGCACACACTCTGCCCGGCTCTGCTTAGTCAACATCAACTGTGTTCAGAACGTCTCCTCACCTTCATGGTTGCTCCTGCGTACAGTCTGCGGGCCAGCAGTTTACCAGCCTGTATGGCCACCGGCGTGAGCTCCCACTTTCCCTCCAGAATGTCTCCAATGGCATAGATGTGAGGAACGTTGGTTTGCTCCTCATCATTCACTGGAACCTTCCCGTTCCTGCACAGAGAAACAGAAGATTATGAATAACTTTGTAAAGCAGACACAGACTTTTGGACTGAAGACTTAAAACAGAGGCATGCAAAAGTGTGTTAAGTCAGTGTGTGGAAACCTATAAAGAGAAGAAAACGAATGCATTTAATTAATTAATTAATTTTTTCCCCCCTTTGCCTTAGTCTCTATTTCAGAGGTCGCCACAGTGGAATGAACTGGCAACTATTCCAGCATATGTTTTATGCAGCGGATGCTCTTAAAGCCACAACCCAGTACTGAGAATAAATGCATTTAACTAATACATAAATAATCTATAATAAAATTATGATATTCATGTAAATATGAACACCAGAATACCACAAACTAACTAACTTTCACACTAATAACAATAATAAGCAAAATAATAAGCAGCAGCTGAGTGTGAACGGTTGACATTAAATGTACTGCAATTCAAGATTTAAACAATGTGAAATATGATCATTAAAACTCACTCACTCATTTCATAATGCTTGATCTGAGTCTGTTTCTATCTATATTCATGTCTCCTATTATTATTTAATAACTAAAAATCAGTGCGTCTCAAAATCACAAATATAACAAAGACAATTCGCTGCTGCATTTGTGACCAGAAAGCAATAAAAATAAAACACTTAAAATGTAACAGCCACATTACACTAGCAAACTTCTGCAATTTAAGACTAGACTCACAGCTTAAGAACTACTGCAATAAATGCACAATAATCCTCTAGTGTATTTGGCAAGCCTCTGATGCTTTTCGAAACACGATGTACATCAGAACTGATTGAGCAAGTCAAGTCAGCATGAGCAATTCAATTTAAAGCACTTGAGTCATAAAGATCAGCGAGCTACTCATACAAGAGAGCAGTAAAAGAGCTGTGCATCATACTCGTGTGTGTGTGTGTGTGGGTCATATGACTGCTCAGAACAGATCTAAAAGCTCTGTGCTGCACTAATCCTTCAGGAGGAGTCATTGAGTGCATTAATACAACCCATCACACACTACTCAATGGAAATGCTTTTCTTAATTCATCCAGAAAGAGCACACTGCACTTTATTCTGGTCAATTCTTGGACATTTCCCAGAACTAAATAGTGCTGATTCACTGTGACACTGCCTCCACTACTCACTCTGGCCACGCCCACTCAGTGCTTCCCTGACAACAAGGACTTTGTTTAGAGTTTACGGGTTGGGCTGAGAGGACAAATGACCAACCATTCATAACAGCGGCACATACTTCTCATTGATTTTAACTCCCGCCTTGTCCAGACCGATCTTTCCTGTACAGGCGTCACGGCCCACTGCTATCAACACCTAAAATAAACACACACAAAAAACACATCATTAAAGGAATGTGACAGTGCCTATTGTTAAAGGAAATAACAAACATTCATCATTAGCAGCAGACCAGCCTCACACTCTTAAATAACTGTACAGAGATCAGCTCAATGTTCACACTGATGCATTAACAAAAACACTTGACATTAGTGCTGGAAGTGCAGTTTTTTTCCCAATGGCTCATGTTTCCCGGTGACTTCCAAGCAGGCTGTTTGACTACTGAGAAACCACATCAACTTTGGACACGACGCTGTACTTTCACAATAAATAGACTGTACTTTTTAGCTTCAATGGTCTCACTTCACAATAAAGTTATGCTAACATGAACTAATAATGAACAATACTTATGAAGCATTTATTACTCAGAGTTTAACATCTATTAATGCATTATTAAAATCCAAATTTGTGCTTGGTAATATCAGCGAATGCACTGCAAGTTAACATGAACGATTAATGAATATTGTATTTTCATTAACTAATAGGGATGCACAGATACCATTTTTTTTTTGGAAATGATCCAATTCTGATGCCAAATATTCGGAGTATTGACTGACACAGATTCGATCTCAATATTGTGTGTTTTTAAAAACATTAATACAGTTTCTATAGTTCTGGTGATAACCTCAAATAATATGTCTTCTTTAGTAAAGATAGCACTACTTTACATGACAGATGGCACAATCTAACTAAAAACATGACGCTTGCTATATAGGCCACCGTATTTAAGCACTCGTTTTGACATTGATATGATCTGTTGTGGTCCAGCTTATGTCTCCTTTATTAATATTAAGATTTGTCTTTGAAATCTGTAATAGGCTATCACCATTGACAATAATCGTTGGTGAAATAACCAGCATTTTAGCAAGCCTGATATTTTCCTGCAGGTTTGAGGCAGGCTCAACTAAACCGTCAGAGGTCAGCTATACTTAAGCATTCACTTGCCTAAACTCGCCGTGAGAGAGATGGAGAAACTAAAAGCATGTCTGAATAATTATCTTTTTGGAACGAATTTCATCTGGTATAATCTGTTGACTATTTTAATGAATTTTTGTCGGTCAGTCATCTACAAAATAAACAAGAATATTTGAGGGGAAGTTCAAAATAAGGTCCGCTTATCAGCGCACAAACTGGTCTGTTAAATAAATGATATAAATAAATAATAATATTTATTAAAAAAAAAAAAAATGATATAAATAAAATTAATTTGAAATATTCAGTTTCAGAGTAGCCTGTATTAGGATCATTTTTTGTTAATGACATTCCATATTGCACCCGTCAGTTTCACTTTTATTAATTTAATCAACTACTTTGACCACAATGAGCCAGGCTTTGCTTACTATTTGCAGCACTGAAAGTATTCCCCTCGGAAGAATAAACTCAGTCGGAAGGATGAGAATGGAAACCTGTGAGAATTTTATGGAGAGGTGCAAGGTAGGCCTATTTTGTGTGTGAAGCAGGTATTAACCCTCTCTATTCCAGTTTTGCGAATATGATCTGCTGATCTAACAGACACAGCGCAACATGATTTAGAAAAAGCAATGAACTCCTCGCTGCAGGTCAAAATGAAGCCATTTAATGTAAAACTAAATGCTTTTCTCCACTGATTATTTAAACAGGAACAAATAGTCTTGGAGAGTTTTTCCTGTTGTCATGAACGCGATCAGTGCATCCCTAGTAACTAACATGAACGAATACAGTAATAAATGTATTGTTTATTATTTGTTCATGTTAGTAAATACATTGATACAACCGCTTAGTGAAGATTTACCCCTTCAACACATTAAAGTAAATGTACATGTCTGAATGTAATGGCATCTAAAAAAAAAAACTACATGTGTTAAATGTTTATGGACATTATATATATATATATAAAAAAACACAAAATGTATACTTCATTTAGGTCCTTTCTCTAAATTGATTTATCAACTTGTAATACTTTAAGACTCCACTTTTAACCTTAAGATGTTCTGTAAATAAAGGTATCTGAAGTAAATTTTTATTGTTAATTTTTATTATATATATATATATATTTTTATATATATATATATATATATATATATATATATATATATATATATATATATATATATATATATATATATATATATATATATATATATATATATATATATATATATATATATATATATATATA